TGGTAATACATTTTCTTCTTCGCAGAACTTCACCGCTTTTGTTGTGAAAGCAGTGACTATTTCAGGAAATAATGAAGGACAGAAGAGCAGTTACTGACACACAAAGGCCACAAAGCACGAGTATAAAGAGCTATGACATGTTTAGAACAAAGAATTATATGTACGGGCAGCATAAAACATCCACTAGACAGTGTGACATTGTAATTGCCAGAATTAGGCTGTGATATCGATATCTGGCAGGTGGCTGCAGGTAATGAATCTCCCAATGGTGAACATTCCAATTGTAAACTATGTGAACAAGAGCTGGGACATACTCTTCAACACTATATCTGTGATTGCCCTGTTATAACTGTTATAAGTGACTTCAGACCTAATGGTATGAGGTACTTTGAGCTCTGTAATTACTTCATACACTCAGGAATATTGAAAGATATGCTTGTGCTGTATCCAGATTTTGCTAGTGGGGGCTAATAGATCAGCCTTACATCTCGTGTTCTCTCCTGATTTTTTAATTAGTTGATTTTTTTTTTTGTATTGAGACTGGTATTTTCACCCCTGATTCCACATATGACTAACCATCCTGCGAGATGGGAATATTAGATGAACTTATAGCTAGTTTTTTATCTACACTGTATCTTTCATACAGAATATGGTAGCTGCACATTACTGTGTATACCTAAGTTTGTTAATAAAAAATAATGTCTGACTTTGCCTTTGTTTCCCAGATAACTGGGAAACTTCTGTTAACGGGCTCAATTCTCACACCCCCTCCCCCTCACTCAGGCAAAGAAGGATATTAAAATAATTAAAGGCGATAAGATCGGCCAAGTCTCCGTGGTGTAGCAGTGGTTTAACAGTCTCCGTGGTGTAGTGGTAAGACACTCGCCTGGCGTTCCGCGAGCGCTATGTCATGGGTTCGTATCCTGGCCGGGGAGGATTTACTGGGCGCAATTCCTTAACTGTAGCCTCTGTTTAACGCAACAGTAAAATGTGTACTTGGATGAAAAAACGGTTCTTCGCGGCAGGGGATCGTATTCCAGGGACCTGCCCGAAACGCTACGCGTTAAGGAATTGCGCCCAGTAAATCCTCCCGGCCAGGATACGAACCAATGACATAGCACTCGCGGAACGCCAGGCGAGTGTGGTATCACTTATGACATTGTGTTTGCTTCTAAATGTCCCCAGTTTGCTAACTACAGTATAAGTAGTAACTAAGTGATTGTAACCTATCCACCGCTGCCCACTGGATGGGTGGGGGGGGGCGGTGTAGAGAACAAACATATCAATTGTGACACTAGCTCTCCACATGTCAGTTGCTTAATTTAGAAACTGTACTTGTGATCGACCTCGAACCCATTGATGATGTGGCGATGTGTATTGAATTTTGTAAGTAGCTCATCAAGACTGTAACTTGCTCAGCTAAATGAATTGTGGGGTTCAGTCTCTGAGCCCATTATGTGCCTCTGTAACCCTTTCCACTACCACCCACAAGATGGGGGTATGGGGTGCATAATAAACAAACTAAACTAACTCATTATTGGCTGAGTAAGCATTAATATCATGTCATCACTGATTTTATAAATAATTTGCGTAGGAATAATCAACTAAATTATTCTTAATACAGTACTGGTCTTCAAAAATGGATAGAATAACAAGTTATCAAAATCACAACTGGAATAAACTAATCTATAGGCACTGTTCCAAGCATATTATAATAAGCACTACAGTATATCGCTTCTGCCTAACTGTAAGTGTTACCTTACTTTAAACCTAGCATACAGAATAAATAAAACGCCTCTCACCTTGGTATGCAATTTATGATAATTAGCTCAATACACACCAAGGTCAATTTATACAAATTATTCAACAGAACTTCAATAAATCTCTAATATCCAGTCAATGTCTATTGGGATTACCTTCATGCTAGAATATCTCCCAGTAAATCACACCTCTGGAATGCTGCAGTTGGATGTGTGGCGGGGCAAGGAAAAGGAAACGCATTACCTAGCTTCTCACTTTACACCATTGTAACCCAGTTCCCTGTTCCTTACTTGCACTGTTTAGGCAGTTCCTTTTCTGTAAATATCAGGATGAAGATCAACAATGCAACATTACTTGAAAATGATCAGCACTATTTGAAGATGATATTTCTACTCCCTAACAGTAAGCACCAACACTTGTCAATGTACTCACATTGCTGGATATCTGAGATGAAAGATGCAGGAAGTAAAAATCCACATTGCTTTCCAGAATCCAAAACAAGAAAAGTTGTCTACAGCTTTGCATATCAGTCACTGTCACACAGGCAGTCATTTGTCAAATGACAAAGCCTAACTTCTACTTTACATAAAATCTCATCATCAACATATACGGTACTGCAAAAAAAAGTGTCGTCCTATAATATTACTGCCTTAACTAACAACATCCCTGCTCAGAACTATTATTCAAACTGAGCACAAAGCATTAGGATGAGCAGACAAGTCACAGTAAGCACAATAAACAGCCTACTACTCGCTGTACAAAGTCACGTCAACTGTAGTGTCAATGATGTGTCAAGAGCTTTATCAGGCACCATCTTGAATGCTCAAATTCACACACAAAAATTAAACCAACCTCAGCACATAATATTTTATGTTGGGATCCCCAAATTTATCTTGAAATCCCTCATGTTAGTTGTAGATAAATATGAATAAGATGGCCAAGTAATATTATAGACTTTGGTATTGTAATATGCATATACTGTATACACAAAAAACATCCATCAAAATATTTATCATGTAATGTGACAGTCAATCATCCCATTAACTTTGATTAGGGCAATCTACCAAGCATATACATTTTTAATATTAAACAGTGTGCATTTTGTAAACATGAGGAGTGACACTATGCAATAGATTAATATTATTATTGCTAGGTGGATATAGAGTTTGCATGCCTTGAACTTAGAATACCAATGCTCATACAAATTCTGGATCCCCAACACAAGTATAGTACTGTACTTGCACAAACGTTTTTAGTCTTTTCTTAAAAAAAGCTAGAGAACAACAACTTCCCACAGGAATAAATAAAACAAAACAATTAATTGTCTATAATTCATGTGCTGTATGTTTAGTGGCCAAGTGGTGACTTAAATATGAAAGTTAACAGAAATTTCAAGTTACAAATTATTAGCCAAGGTACAAAGGAATGATGCAGCTATTATTGTACCTAGCTTGTACCTAGTAGCCAGAACGCACTTCTCAGCCTACTATGCAAGGCCCGATTTGCCTAATAAGCCAAGTTTTTCTGAATTAATATATTTTCTCTATTTTTTTTCTTATGAAATGATAAAGCTGCCCATTTCATTATGTATGAGGTAAATTTTTTTTATTGGAGTTAAAATTAACGTAGATATATGACCGAACCTAACCAACCTTACCTACCTAACCTAGCCTATCTTTATAGGTTAGGTTAGGTTGCCGAAAAAAGTTAGGTTAGGTAAGTTAGGTAGTCGAAAAACAATTAATTCATGAAAACTTGGCTTATTAGGCAAATCGGGCCTTGCATAGTAGGCTGAGAAGTGCGTTCTGGTACGACATATATATATATATATATATATATATATATATATATATATATATATATGTCGTACCTAGTAGCCAGAACTCACTTCTCAGCCTACTATGCATGGCCCGATTTGCCTAATAAGCCTAGTTTTCATGAATTAATTGTTTTTCGACAACCTAACCCACCTAACCTAACCTAACCTAACGTTTTCGGCTACCGAACCTAACCTAACCTATAAAGATAGGTTAGGTTAGGTTAGGTAGGGTTGGTTAGGTTCGGTCATATATCTACGTTAATTTTAACTCCAATAAAAAAAAATTGACCACATACATAATGAAATGGGTAGCTTTATCATTTCATAAGAAAAAAATTAGAGAAAATATATTAATTCAGTAAAACTTGGCTTATTAAGCAAATCGGGCCTCGCATAGTAGGCTGAGAAGTGAGTTCTGGCTACTAGGTACGACATATATATATATATATATATATATATATATATATATATATATATATATATATATATATATATATATATATATATATATATATCTGTAGGCATGTACCAGAAGCACACACTAGTATCACAACCAGTTAATACAGGCCCAAAATTCAATAAAAGTATAACAATGGTTTATGTCTACCAATTAACCCTAATAACCTAACGTTTTCGGCTAACCTAACCTAACCTATAAAGATAGGTTGTTATAAGGGTTGTAGGTTCTCATATATCTGTAATTTAACTCCAATAAAAGACAATGACCTCATACATAATGAAATGGGTAGTATCATTCATAAGAAAAAAATTAGAGAAAATACATTAATTTAAAGCTTATTAGGCAAATCGGGCAGTGCAGCACACCTGAGAAGTGCGTTCTGGCTACTATACGACATTTCTAACATGACAATGTCAGACCACGGAGGAAAAATCAGGAAATTTCCTTAAGTACTTTCGTATATTAAATACATCTTGAAGAAAATGTCATATGTATGTATGTATGTATATATGATATACATATATATATATATATATATATATATATATATATATATATATATATATATATATATATATATATATATATCTGTAGGCATGTCCAGAAGCACACACTGTATCACAACCAGTTAATACAGTACCAAAATTCAATAAAAGTATAACAATCTATGATACAATTCAATCTTTTTATAAGAACAATCTTATAAAAAAATTGTTATAAATGTATACTCTATTGTAATGTGACAAGAAATGTATCCAATTGTATCTTTACAAAATGCAAAATATATTTAAAGTAATTTAGATAGCAGTCAGCACACCTGAAAAAAGCTTGTAATAATATTTCTAACACTGCCTTTTCCCGTATTTTCATCTTTAAGCCTTCTACATATGTGTGTATGTATGTATGTATGTATGTATGTATGTATGTATGTATGTATGTATGTATATATGTATGTATGTATGTATATATATATATATATATATATATATATATATATATATATATAAACCCATTTTCCAAATGTGTCCTATGGCTATATATTTATTTCCCTGATAAAGCACCAATTAAAACATTAAGGCACCAATGCCAGAATAAACCTTCAAGAATTAGAAATATGTTATTTTCACACCTACATACCCCGTAACATTAAAATATTGATGAGAAGTACATTCCTGTGCAAAAATATAAACTATATGAACACATGTTGCTCAATGAAAATTAATACTACTTCATAGAAGCTCCACTTCCCATGAGCGAATTCCAACTCTTAACCCAAGGCTTATCCAATTTCACCGAACAGGTCATTAAATCCCTCATACAGTCTTCTTTCCAGGATTATCAGGAAAATCTGAAGTGCATAGTGGAGATGGAATTCAATTACCCCATTGTAAAAGCATATTAACCAGTTTGAACATGGAAATGGTTTTACAAGTATTGTATATTGGTTTAGGCAAAAAATATTCTTTGGTATACTGTATGTATATATATGGAGTACTGTAATTTTAAGAAAAACAATGCTTATTAGGCTAAAACAATGATAGTAAAACATGCTCAAAAAATAAAATCAATTTTTAGCAATGAATTCTCATTACAGTTACAGTCAATTTAACAAAAATATGTACACTATTGTTTAAATATTAGTCAAGTTTACCAATCATTATAGGCATATTTTACTATATATTGTTCTCAAACATGACTTGCAGCAAAAGCTATGTGGCCACATTAGAAATTAAGTTTTTCAAAGTTATTGAGTCACATTTAAAAAATGCCTTGGTCCTCAATTGCATGGAAGTTACTAAGAATTAAAGAGACCATTGCATTAATACTCTTCAAGGTGGATAAAATGCAGTACCCTAGTTTGTCTATTAAATTTTTAGCCACACAAGGATCTTGTTGTTAGCTGGCATGTTGAACATGGCATCAAATGTCATGCCATTCTTCTTGGCTTCCTTTTCCAGATCATCAACATCTCTAAGACCCCATGCTTCATTTTGTTTCTGAAAATTTATAATCAATATTATTGATGGTACATCAACTGTGTGTAGCATTTCACATTGAAACAGAAACACTAATTTCTTTTTAGCATAAAATTTTAATATTCATCTTTGTCCCTTAAAAAAAATATATACATGATAGGTTCTCTATCTTGAAAATGAGCTTGCTAGAGTGAGTGTAAATACCTAGTTTTGCCTGCAAGGGATGAGCTCTGGCTCTTTGGTCCCGCCTCTCAACTATCAATCAACTGGTGCACAGATTCCTGAGCCTACTGGGCTCTTATCATATCTACATTTGAAACTGTGTATGGAGTCTGCCTCCACCACATCACCACCTAAAGCATTCCTACTGTTAACTACTCTGATACTAAAATGGTTCTTTCTAACCTCCCTGTGGCTCATTTGGATACTCAGTTTCCACCCATATTCCCTTGTTCGCATACCCAACAGTGTTAAACAATTTATCTTTATCTACCCTGTCGATTTCTCTTAGAAATTGTGTAGGTAGTGATCATGTCTTCCCGAGTTCTCCTATCTTCCAGCGACGTTAGGTGCATTTCACTCAGCCTTTCCTCGTAACTCAAGCCTCTCAGTTCTGGGACTAGAACAGTGGCATACCTCTGAACTTTTTCCAGCTTCGTCTTTGCTTGACAAGGTATAGTCTCCATTCTGGGGCCGCATACTCCAGGATTGGTCTTACATACGTGGTATACAAGGTTCTGAAAGATTCCATACACAAGTTTCTGAAGGCAGATCTCATGTTAGCCAGCCTTGCATATGCTCCTAATGTTATTCTTTTGATGTGGGCTTCAGGAGACAGATTTGGTATGATATCAACTCCTAGATCTTTCTCTGTCCGTTTTGTGAAGGACTTCATCTCCCATTCGGTATCCCGTGTCTGGCCTTATATTTACTCCATCTAGTTTTATTACCTTGCATTTACTTGGGTTGAACTTTAGTCACCATTTGTTGGACCATTCCTTCAGTTTGTGTATACAGTGGTACCTCAGCTTACGAATTTATTCCGTTCCCAGAGAAGGTTCGTAACCCGAAAATTCGTAGACCGAAGCGAATTTTCCCATAAAAATGTAAATTGAATTAATCCGTTCCACAGTCCCAAAAACATTAACTTCAAAGTAAATTTTATACCTAATTCACCCAAATCTTTAGTACTAAAGTATGTACAAGTTATTGCTTACCTTTATTGATGACTTGTTAATGTATGGAAGACAGTGAGGAGGGGGCGGGGGAGGAGGAAAGGTGTTAGTGTTTGGAGTGGGAGTCTCTTTCCATTATAACATCAGGCAGTGATGATTTCTCTGGGGGTACTCTCTATGGCATTTTTTGCCTGCATACCACTAGGACCTGCTTGTGACTCACTCACTGCTTGTTTTTCTCACTAAAAACCTTTCCATAGAGACTTGTTTTTCCCTACATTGTAACACTTGTCTGTAGTGAGACATCACAGTGTCATTAAAAAGGTTAAGGCAACGGCCTACTACAGTTTGCTCTGGGTGAGTCGTTTCAACAAAAGTTTGCATTTCTTCCCATTGTCTACACCACTTCTTAATTGTTGAGGAAGGGACATTCTGTACTGCCTCCTCCCCTGAAGAAATTTCCTCAGTTGCCTCTTGTTACTGCTCCTTGTGAAGGGCTAGGATTTCTTCGGTGGTCAGTTCTTTGCTGTGTTCCTTCAACTCAACACACAACACTCAACTCTCAAAACACTGAATAACACTTTTTCAAAATTTCTCAAATCATTCCCTGCTCACTTTTAAACTCTTTCATATCTGCATCACTTGTTCCAAGGGTTTTCTTTAAAAGGTCTTCATGCAATAGCCTTGCTTTTTCACAAATAATGGCCTCTGAAACGCTATCACCTGCTAACTCCTTGTCTTGTATCCAAATTAATAACAACTTTTCAACATCCTCAAGTGTTTGTGTTCTTTGTTTCATGATTGTTGATATGCCTTTTGCCACATTAGCACTCATGTCTTTTTCTTAGTAATTACAGTACATATCATTGACATAGATTTGTTGTACTGCCTAGCTAGTTCAACAACTCGTGTACCATTTTCATGTTTACAAATGATCTCTTGTTTTTCCTCTATGGTCATCCTCACATGTGTTTTCTTGGATTGAATCTTACCACTGGCTTTCTAGGGACCCATGGCGGAATATCTATATAAATAAAAATGGAAATGTTCGTTTGTTCAAAATCGCTAATCTCCGAAAGTTCTTCACCAATTGCTTTGAAATTTTCACACAACGTTCCATTCGCATCTGAGCGAATTTTTATATACATACTATATAGATGTCACGTCTGTGATGGGAAAAACATGCTTTTTTAGAAAAAGTGTGTTTTTCATGTGAGTTAACCCCTTAACTGCGTTGCCTCCAAATATGATACCCCCGCAGTGCGCAGGAAATAAATTCTCTGGAAAAAATTCTTTTTTCTTTTTAAAGTGTCAGAAACCCTTCCCTCAGTATGGGTATGTAGAAAAAAAATCGAAATTGTACTTACTTTGGCTGCTCTGGGGTCCGTAAGTTGGGGCGTGACGTCATCATTCCCTGTTCGCCGGTGACGTACGCTCCCAGAGCCAGTAGGGCGCTCGGGGCAGGGCGCGCGAGTTGCCGCGAATATATTTTCGTTCATTTTTTTCGCACAGTTCCAAATACATTTTATTTGTTTTTACGTGCTAATCATATGTATAGTGAACACGTACACTATATTATGGCAGTAAAACATCCGTACTGTCCGAAGACACTGTTACGTACATGACACTTGTGTACACATATGCAGCACATATTTACTATGTATCATGCTAATTTATGTATATATACAATCTATTTACACACTATACATTCACCATCAACACATTCAGAACACCTCGAGTGAGAGCAGCCACACCCAGCCAGTCTCCCTCACTCCAACATCTTACTCGCCAACATTGCTCCTCCCACCATTCTGTTATTGTTCTTATTACACATGTTATATATACCTATCTACATGTTTTATTTACCAGAACTATGCAAGTAAGCATTGTGTAAGTATTGTGTCCAAACAGTACAGTGGCCACCATACACTGCATGAAAAATCACACAGCAGACGACGCTACGATTACGTCACCTCCCTCACCAAAATAGCTCCTCTCAACATTCTCCTGTTGCTGTTCTTACACTATATACACACACTATATATACCCATATACTTATGTTTTGCCCATAGCGAACCACTAAGCTAGTATGGTGAGCAAAACAAGAGTGGCAGCCACACATACACAATGAGGCTACCTCAATTCTCGCCCTCCCTCCCTCACCAAAATTCCTCCTTCCACAATACAACGCACAATGCTAATTATAACCACATTCCTGCTATTATCACAATTCTGGTCACTAATTCCTGTAAATGAATAAATGACCACACGTTTATTTTGAAAAGGAACCCAAGATATCATTTGCAGATTCCTAGATGGACGAAATAATGCTGTGGTGCTGTGGCTAGCGCTGTGAACATCGTGAACAGCATAAAATCATTGATATTTGAACATTGTACCCAGTCATTATCACACTCAGGCTCTTCTATAACACTATCATAGCTAAATAATACAAGTTATATATATATTTTGACATTATTAGGCGATGCTGTGGTCACACGCTGAACAGCAGTGCTGTGCGCTCATGCTGTGAGCGCCAGCCTTGGTTGCTCACACACTACTGAGGCTCCCACACCGGGATTGTGGACCACGATTTTTTTTAAAGATGGCGTCTGTTTACAAGAGCCCTGAGGAAGCTGATGTGAACCCCATGTAGCCGCGGGAGTTTTGAATGGAACACGAAAAATACAAATACCCGGAGGCGCGTTGCGCAAACCAGACGTGAGCCTGCAGGCGCGTTGCGCAGTTTAAGGGTTAAAATTTTGTGTGACATTACGTTGGAATTGAGCTGTGTTGTTTACCATACCGTTCATTTCAAGAGTATAAGTATAGATGCCACACCTGTGACAGGTAAAACCCATGCTTTTTTGACAAATAGCGCCATCTGTTGCATTAAGAGCAACACATGCTATACTGTACTATATATGTTACGATTCCATTTCAATGTTTCCAATTGCATTGATAAAATGAATTTTCATAGATTTTGATTTATTTTCATTTTGATTTAATTATTTTGTTTGACATTGCCTTAGAATTGAGCTGAGTTATTTACTATACCATTCATTTCGTGAGTATAGTTTACTTTTTTTCACTTTTTTTCATTTCGTTTTTTAACTTTTCTTATTATTCGGTGAGTGGAACATCAGATCATTTAATGTTCCCAATTTTCTGAAGGGAATATCAGATCATTTGGGAATGCTTCGGATGAGGGAGAGGGGAATGGTGGGGAGGACGAGGGGACGTGGGAGTTGGGGATGGTAGGGACGAGGGGACAGGGGAAGGGGGAATGATAGGGAGGGCGAAGGGACGGGGGAGTGGGAGATCGTGGGGAGGACGAGGTGACGAGGGAGTGGGAGATCATCGGGAGGACGAGGGGACTATGGAGTGGGGAATTATTGGGAGGACAAGGGGACAGAGAAGGGGATGGTGGGGAGGACTGGTGGGCAGGGGAAGGTTGCTGGGGGTCAGCAGAACTAATGCATTGCTGAGCCGCAGCAACGCGTGGCTGGGTACAGCTAGTATAATAATAACTTTTATGTTCAAATACCCAAAAATTCGAAAAGCACTGAAATTATTTATAAAGAATTCAAGCACAATTGTCACTAGACGGGAGGCACAGGTAAACTGAGGCGCGGTTGCCGTGCCACCACGCGCTAGGTCGGCTATACATGTATCAACAAACCACGTTACCTGAGGCAAAGTTCGTAACCGATTTGAATTTTATGAAGAAATTGGGCTCATAACCAGAAAAGTTCCTAAAGAGAGGCATTCGTAAGCCGAGGAGTCATTGTATCAGGAACAGTATACGCCCAAGAACTGATCCCTGAGGCACTCCCCGGGTGATGC